TATCTCTGAATTTAATCTAATAGAACTTTGGATTGCCGAGGGGCTTGTGGAAGAAGTGAATAGCCAACAAGCAGAGTTTGATCAGGGGTACGCCATACTAAATAAACTCAAAAATAATTGCTTGTTAGAAAATGGTGAAGTTACCGGACGTTTGAAGTTGCATGACCTCGTGAGAGACATGGCACTACGCATCACGAGGCCACGATTCTTGGTAAGAGCTGGTTTACAATTGAAAGAGATACCACATGCGCAAGAATGGACAGAAGATTTAGAAAAGGTTTCCTTGATGAAAAATGGAGACTTACGAATTCCATCACAAATGTCACCACCAAAATGCCAGATGCTCACAACTTTATTGTTGTCCGATTGCTTAATAGTGAGTATTCCAGATTGTTTCTTTGAGCACATGAAGGGTCTCAAAGTTCTTGACCTTTCTGAGAATAATTTTACAATTTTACCAAGTTCCATCTCTAACTTGGAAGCTCTCACTGTGTTATTGCTAAGAAGATGCCGTTATTTAGAAAAGGTGCCATCTTTCTCAAAACTTGAAGCTTTAAAGAGGTTGCATCTTTCAGGCAGAAAAATCAAGAATCTCCCACATGGGATGGAAAGGTTGGTAAATCTCAATTATCTGTATCTGTGGGTGGAAGAAATCCCCAGTGGAATATTATCAAAATTCTCATGCCTGCGAGACCTGAGGCTAAGTTTTGCATTTGTCAAAGGAGAAGAGATAGGTGAGTTAAAGAAGCTGGAGTTCTTTGAAGGGAGCTTTTATGACTTGAATGACTTGAATACTTTTGTGCAAGCTTTGCAGAGTCGAGGACAACAGCTTATTCAATACGACGTGGGTGTGGGTGATAAAAATTTCTATAGTTTCTGCGAATGGGATAAATACATTGAATTGTCTTGTTCCCATCCGATCTATAGAAATGGCATCAAGTTCCCATCTGATCTTCAGAAATTGAAAATTAACAATGGCATTGTTGATTTCCCAAAAGAAGAGGTGTTTTTTCCATGGTTTATCCCAATGCCAAATGGCATGTTTTCTATTCTTAAAGAAATTGATATATTTAGATGTGAACAAATAAAAAGGTTGTTCACGTGTAGTTGGGTGCAAAGTAACCTCCCAAATTTGGAAGTGTTAACTGTTAAGGAATGTCACCAAATGGAGGAAATAATAGCATCAGAAATGGAATTCATTGAAGAAGAAAGAATGGGTGGTAGTAACAGTAATACCATCCAATTTACTCTTCCCAAATTAAGGATATTGGAATTGCAGTTTTTATGGGAACTGAAAAGTATTTGTGGTGCAAATAGAGTAATGGTGTGTGATTCTATTGAAAAGATTACAATCTATCATTGCTCAAAATTACAGAGGATTCCTCTCTATCTTCCATTGCTTGATGATGGCCAACCATTTCCTCCTCCCTTTTTTAAGGAAATCTTTATACTTCCAGAGAAGAAGTTGAGATCGGTGGAGTGGGATCATCCCAGTGCCAAGTCCGTACTAGAGCCATTTTTGAAATGTTCAGATCATTACGAATCATATTCTTAATCAAATTACTGCTCATATCTTGAATCAGATTACGACTCAGATCCTGAATCAGACGCCAACTTAGACCCTGAATCAGATGCAAGTCTACCTAATGATGGCCAACCATCTCTGCCTCCTTCTCTTAACAAAACCCTTTTATCTTCAGGGGAATTGTTGGATTTAGTGAAATGGACCATCCCAATGCCAAGTCCCTATTGGAGCCATTTATTACACACTGGAGGCTCGGATTTGTATATCTATCTCGTTATTTGCCTGACAAGAATGGTATGTAACTCAACAAATCATCTCTCCTTTTCATATTTCTTATGTTATGTAGATTGATTTCAAACATCTCTCTGTTGATAGTCTATTCAATTGGTTGTGAGAATTGTGAGATGCTCCTATTGCAACCATCAAAAGTAAGTAGTGTAGAATTCTTTGATGAATCAGAGAGTTTGAGTTGACTAAAGAACACAATTAAAAGAACCCAAAAAATAGAGGAAAATGATTTAACAGAGAAGAAATTAGGAAAAACCACCCAACTATATTTTTGTATTCATATTTATATAAGCATCAAGGTAACTGTGCCATATGATTCGGTATTGGAAAAAGTGTCTCACAATACCCAATCGCTATGCACAGAATTTCAGACATGGAATTCTGTGCATTACAATGATTAAGCCTAACAGCTATGAGAGTTAAAGGAAGAAACAAAACATGACTTAATAGCCTTAACAGACTAGAAAAAATAACATAATGAACCGACGTTTAAGCTACTACAAAAACCTAAAGAGACAAAAACGACATAACAAGAAAACGTTTAAACCAATTATTAACTAAAGAACCAAAATGAAATCGTACCCTTCTTGACTTCTTTCCCTCAACCAGTAGTTGCTCCATGCCCAAATTCATTCTTCTTCAAACTTTGCTAGCTGGAATCACTGAGTCTTCTACACACCTCCTTGATTCCAGATGAGTAAACTCCCAATTTGTCCCTCAGAAACTCAAAGCAATCTACACTTAACCCCTTGGTGAAGACATCAGCCAGTTGCACCTTGGTAGGATAGTATTCAAGTTCTATTTCACCCTCCTTCACTGCATCTCTGAGAGAATGGTATTTCACATTGATATGCTTTGTGAGACTGTGCTATACTGGATTCTTAGCAATAGCCATTGCAAATTGATTGTCAACATAAAGTAATGTTCCTCTGTTCTGTGAGAAACCCAATTCATTTAAAATTTTCCTTAACCACAATGCTTGATTGCTGCTGAAGCAGTTGCAATGTACTCTGCTTCTACAGATGATTGAGCTACCACCTCCTGCTTCTTTGAGCTCCAGGAGAATACCCCACTTCCAAAAGAAAAACAATAGCCACTTGTACTCTTATAGTCATCACAAGAACCGGCCCAATCACTCTCTGAGAAACCCTAAAGTTCACTACTTTCAGCCTTCAAATACTTCACACCAAAATCTATAGCACCTTTTACATACCTGAGGATACGTTTGGCAGCAATAAAATGAGTTGTTTTTGGAACTTCCATATACTTGGACAAAAGACTTGTTGCATACATTAAATTTGATCTGGTTACAGCAAGATATAATAAGGATACTTCTATATAGCTTTTCATTGGCCTCTGATGACTCATCTTGCTTGCAAAACTTGCTTCCTGGAGCCAATGAAAAGATATAATAGAGTAATGGTTTGTGATTTTCTTGAAAAGATTCATATCCAAGATTGTCCAAAATTATGGAGGATGCCTCTATATCTTCCCCTGCTTGATGATGGCCAACCATCTCCTCCTCCTTTTAAGCAGATCCTTATATTTCCAAGGGAATGGTGGGAATCGGTGAAGTGGGACCATCCCACTGCCAAGTCTCTATTTAAGCCACAATTTTTGAGACAGATACGCCGCTGATTTGTTTATCTCTCTCCTTATTTGCCTGACAACAATGGTAGCAACTCAACAAAGCATCTCTCTTTGCTATATTTCTTATATTATTATGTAAATTGATTTCAAACATTTCTCTTCCTCTTGATCATTCTATTCAGTTATTGGTGGGAATCGTGAGGTGCTCTTATTGTTACCATCAAAAGCAAGAAACCACATCTGTTTGTTGATTGGTTAGTAGACATCTCTAGTGCATTTCAATTTCAAATATAATCATATATTATAAGCGGTCTGATTATCATTATTTCGTTTAGTTTGTCAAGGGAAATGGAGGCCCTCTGTTGAGAACCGATTCAATGATTTAACTGCCTCTACTGATGGCCTTCTTCACCTCTCCCAATTCAATGAATGCATTGGTACATGTTTAGTTTTTGTTATTTCTTACCCTTGTAGATGCATAATTTCAAAAGCTTTACATATTCTTTTTTCTTCTTTCAATTTGGATTTTTAATCAGAATTCTGTGCTTTGTTTGGCATCACAAATGCAGCTTGATCGTAATGCCATACAAGATCTAAGTACGGTATCACTTACCGGCCAGCCACAATGGTACCTATGGGTGATATTGTTAATGTGTAGCATGCCTGTGTGCATCATTGGCAACAACACAGTCACAAGTTTGATCCACTGCATGCCAAACAAGACTTCATTGATTATTATGCAAGTGAAGGAATGAAGGCAAGTGAACTCTCATAAACCGGTGAAGATGTTGCTGCTCTCAGGAAAGACTATGAGGAAGCAGGAGCGGAAGGTGTGAAAGAGGAAGAAGGGAAGAGTACTAAACATACGTTTGATGAAGCAGCAGCTAATGGTCTACTCTGTTGCTCATCTCATTTTCCGTTTATTGTTTTAAATTTGTGCATGTACCTCATCTCTTGGATTGTCGCTCTTTCTATATGTCAAGTGAGTGGTTTTTTCAAGTATAATTGTGATAATTTGGAGTTTTGTTTTGTCCAATGAGATGAATCCCTTTCAATGTCTATTAGAATTTTGTTTCTTTGCTCTTCTCTGAACAAGGAATATAGAACCATGCATGTTCAAGGTCCAATTCTTTACTCAGGTGATTTCAATATAGACTATACTTTCATATTTTCATATAGAAATTGAATCTTAAAGATGATTGTGGAATTTTTCCACAAGATGGTTCTTATCATAAAAAAAAAAAAATGAATTTCTGCTTACTTAAATATTCTAGATCTGCTTGTGCAGTTTAATATTAATATTATAAATGGAATTTTGTGATAGTTTGGCAATCCTAAGCCTTCATGCCTAATTTGCTTAGAAAATTTTTTATCTCTTAAAAGCTGGTAAGTCTGGCTATGCAAGGCCAAAATCAGCAAAAACCCGAATGTAACAGATATGAAGAATGTTAGAACATCAAATTGAAAACTTAGAAATTGGCTTCAAGGCGTGTATCAATG